GCACACCGCACGCCGCACTCACTCGGTCTTGTTGAGGTCGGCGTTGGCCAGCGCCACGTGGCTGGTCGGCCTGTCCACGTGCAGGGTGACGTCGGCGAGCGCGTCCGGGGTGTCGACGCAGGGGAAGAGGCGCCGGCCCGCGCCGCGCACCACCGCCGCCCAGCTGCCCTTGTCGAACGTCGTCCGGACCAGGCCGCCGTCGGAGGGGCTGCCCACGGTCCCCGTGGCCGTCATCGTCACCTCGTACCTGACGCCCACCGTGAGCGGTCGGGTCAGGGCGATGTGGACGACCTCCCCGTCAATGTCCACGGTGGACGGGATCTGCGGGCACGACGCACCGGCTCAGATCCTGACGCACACCCGTTCCCTGCCACCGAACATTAAACTCCTCCGCCGACTCACTTTCGTGCTGACGCCATGCTCCGGCCCCCACACGCTGATCTTGGGGTCGACGGCGATGTCCTTGGCGTGGACCTCGAAGCTGTCGACGGCCTCCTCGGCCTCCAGCGTCATGAGGGTGGCGGTGTCGAAGGTGTCGCCGTCGTCGATCCGCAGCTGCACGTCGTACGAGATGACGAGCACGCCAGAGGCCGAGGTGCCCGTCGACACCCCGATGCTCCCGGGGGGCACGTGCGCGACCTGGGGCCCTGTACAAAACGGCAATAACAATAACGAGCGTGCTCATCGAGGAGTTCTTCGTCAACTCCACGCACTGTTAAATATTGTTGGCGTGACAAATGAGATATTTATAAGGCGACATGAATACAGCTAAAACAATGAATGTTTAATGCCATATTTTTTGGTGGTGTAGTGCACTGACCGTCGGTGGGGAGGCTCAGGACGCACGCAGCAAAGCAGAGAAGTACCCCCGCGCGGGCCCTAAAAACATAGACACACAAACTGCAATAACTCTTCTCGCGAAAAGTCCCTAAACACATTTAACAGGCCTTCCTCGCACCTGAGGCCGGCTGCCGTCATGCTGGCGTGCTTCTGGCGCGTTGCTCGGGGGGAGGCCCTAATCTGCGGACACGCCCTGTATCGCGCCGGCCGGACCGGCTACTGACAGCGAACCATCGACTCGCGCCAAACACCCACTCGACAGCGGCGATAAAACCCGAGCGATACTGTCTACTTTCTTTGCAATTATGCACGGCACCCGCTCATATGTTCCGACAGTTGAAACGTTTATCGCGAGATGGATTCTTAATTGAAAATTGCACACGACGTTGTGTCGTCGAGGCGTGGGGAGATAATTGTTTAATGTAATTTAATGAGAGAGCAACAACACACCGTGGGACACATTGGCACATCTTTTTCCGGATGCCGCTGAAAGAAATAAAATTGCAACCAGGACCCGCCGAGGAGCCGCCTGCTTCCTTCGCCGCGCCGAGTCGAGGCGAACAGGCGCGGGGCCTGTTCGGTGACCTTCCCTTCCGCTCGGCTCAGCCGATCGGGTTCGGCTCGCGGCGCTCGCGGCCCGGCTCGGCGCTGCTCGTACATCATGTTTCCCGCCAATACATCTCCGCAGTGGCAGTGCCGAGCCGAGCG